TACTGCTCTTTTGGACTTTAATTTTTCAATTGGCTTAATATCAATAAAATATTATCTAAATCATTAAAACTGCACTTGCAAAGCTTTATAAACAACAGAAACATAGAAATGTATTAAATATAAATAAAACCAAAAATTAGGAATATCTAAAGAAAATTAGAAAAGTGATTGTATTAATATTGATAATTGGAATGATGCCATTAGAAAAATAAAAAATAAAATCTAATTTTTAATAAATCAAATATTTTTTATAATTTTTCATAAATAAAATGTAATTTCTAATAAAATATAAATCAATAGTTTGTAAAAAATTATTTACATGAAGTTATAAGTTTGAAAGATAAGGAGGTTTAATTAATACTACATTTATACAGGATAACTATTACTACATTTTTAATATTTGGCAAGTTATTAAAATATTCCTGTCAAAGATAAATAATTCTTTATAAATTTTTTTTTTTAAATATTTCTTAATAATAATGAAAAGCGATTTCATAAAACTTGAATACTAAATTACAAGAAATTTTGATAAATATATGAATTTTTAAAAAATTATATTTGCACATTTAAGTTTTATTTTACTAATCTAGAACAATACAATACCGAAATTAAAACTTTTACATGCAGTAATGATATTTGTAATTATAATGTTAAATTATAAGTTATTTAAATATAATTTTACACAAATAATTTACAAAATTTTAAACATAAAAATGTAAAAGAAAAAATCATTTTTACCTAGTGAAAAAATTTCTTCCAAATTTAACCCAATGCTGTGTCAGAAGATCTTCAACACTCAGATTTGTGTTAGCAATGACAGAAAGCCATGCTAAAACAGCCCAAATTCCATCTTTCTCTCTATATATAGTAATTTGATATAATGTAAAATTAAATGTGAACATAAACTATCAATAAAAATTTTTCTAAATCCTTTGAAAGTCAGATTGAAATTAAAATAAAAAGGTTAACCTTGACAGAAACCTACTTCAGAAAATTGAAATATGCATAGAGTTAATATTATATAGGCGATATGCTTTTTTACTCTATTTTCATTAACACACATTGTAAATCAAGTTTTAAAAAATAGGACTATATAGTTCTAAAATTAAATTTTAACAAGACCATTTAATAAATATCTTTTGAACAAGCAGGTATAAAAAGATTTAAATATCAATTTGCACTACTGCACCATGCAGAGGTAATTCTCTGCAAAAGCAGAATTAACTTCTAATCATTAGTTGATTTTACTCTTTTCTGATATTGATTTATTAATAGGCTTTCTGATTCCATTTCCCTAAATATTTTAATTTTTTTTACCTTTTTGCACTGAAAATATTTTTTTTTTAAACAAAGAAAGTCATTATGATCTAACTCAATAAAAATTAAAACTTACAAAATTTATCTGACAAAACCTAAGCAACCCATTTTCACCGACTAATAAACCGTTTATTTGCTACACACATAAAACAATTTCTTTAATCAAACAATGAAGTATTGTATGTGCTTTTTATGTTGTAGGTATAATGTATAGCTGAATAATGACACTGTATTATTATAATCAAAGAGAAATTTATACAAAATATGATTAAGTCAGCTTGTAAAAAAAAAAAAAAAAAAAAANAAAAAAAATAAAAAAAAAAAAAAAAAAAAATGCTGGAAGATTGCATACAGAGCCTGACTAAAGCTCTGTATGCAATTGCCCTGGTGCCCCCCAAATAAAATAGAAAGCTTATTTTACTTTTCCTTCATTATTGAACTTTTTTTAAAACAAAATGTCATACAGTGTAAAATTCGTAAGTTTTATGTTAGGTTTTTTATTAATCTATTGTATGAACACAAAAAAATCTATATTTCGTAAATCTACGGTTTTCTAGGGTGGACTTCAGTTACATTTTCGCAATTACAGTGGACAAATTTGGTCATTGAAAAGCCTGTATTTAATCTATTGTATGAACACAAAAAATCTATATTTCGTAAATCTACGGTTTTCTAGGGTGGACTTCAGTTACATTTTCGCAATTACGGTGGACAAATTTGGCCAGTGAAAAGCCTGTATTTTTACATATCCCAAAATGTGAGATGTTTACAAAAATATGGGCTTTTGATTGTCTTAATTGAGCTATCATAATTGCAAAAATATAACTGAATTCCGCCCTTATATCAGCAAGGATATGAATTTTCCACGTCTTGATGACAAAGTTAACAATCAGAAAACAGCATTTCGGAAACTGTCTTCGCATGATAGACATAGAATTGTCAGAAAATCAATAAAATGAACAGAACGATATTTTGCCTGTCGTTTGGAGGAGGGAGGCTTAAAAGCTATTTTACAGTTTAGCAAATTTTCTTGTTATATATCTATAATGAGGTGAAAAATTTAAATACCTCCATATAGTTCGGTTCTTCATTGCTGAAGTAGTGAAGCAGAGGGGGCCCCAAAAGAAGTTTTTGCCCCGGGCCCCAATTAGGCTAATTCGGGCTCTGATTGCGTATTGTTTTTAAATAACATTATTAACTCTGTTAAGTTTTAAAAATATTTATATTTTAGTCTTATGTTGGTTAAATATATATTTGGTGCTTAGAATCATAGATAATAGAATTTACCTAATATGATCAGATCCAGTGCCAAAACTTTCTTCCCCACAAAGTGAAAGCAATCCAGCATCCATTAAATTGCCAAAATATTTCCAGCCAGTTGGTGTTTCATAACTCTTTTTGCCGGTAACTTCAGCAACCCTAAAAAATATATATATATCATTACTGTTTAAAGGAAGGAATGACAAAAATTAAATATTTATATTATATGAAATCCTCAACACTAGTATATAATTGTTTTTTTTTTTAATCAAAAGTTGCTCAAAAAATGACAAATCAAAAATTCAAATTTGCTCTTCAATTATTGTAATAATTTTTTTCATTTTCTATAAATTTTCATTCTTAATAAATTTTGTTTGATAAATAATGAAAAATATTTAAACTAGATATAAGGTTATAAGCAAGGTGAAGAGGAATCATAATTCTTCCTCCATTGAAATTGTTTATTTTATTTATATATTTTCTTTTTTTTCTATCAACTTTTTATTATTGAATGGGTAATAAGTAATGAAGGTTCAAAGTAATTTCGTTCATAGATTATTTTAGCATATACGCTTTATACATTTTCAGTCGAACTCATATAGTTATTTAATTATGCAATTAATAATGACTTACTTGTTGCAAAAGGAAGGAAAAAATTATTTATTGTTTTTATGATTTAAGTGATTCAGTTAAAATGGAATAAATTTCACACAATGGAAATATTATATTAATGAATGAGCACCATGTTGTAATATATCCTAATAAATTTATAGAATTGCTAATTTTTAGTCATTACAAAATGTGTAATACATTTTTCTATACATAAAAAAAACCCTCACTCAATTTAATAATTTAACTGCAAATACACTAATATAGAAAAAACACATATCTGAATTACAAAAAAATTTAAGATTTTGTCTGCGTATTAATACACAAGAAAAGCTGAGTAAGTTAGCTCAATTTTTTATTACTTTATTTTATTGTGCCCATTTCTTTATTCTTACTACTACAAATCTCTTTAAAAACATGACGTTACATGATTTTAAATACTGATAATACTTACTTACATGATTTTAAATACTGATTTTACTTTAATGGTTTAAATCAATCTTTTTTATCAAGGCATTAAAATTGTGATTCAAAATGCAAATATTAACTAACTAATTTTAACGACTGTCAATTAACCTTATTTTATGTGAACAAGTGTATAATTAGCTTAATATGAATTTAAAACTGTTCTATCCTTATTTGTAGTTCATATGCTCCTGATAAGATATATAAAATAATGTGAAAACATCCAGCTTTATTGCTAATGATAATTTGGCAGTAAATGAGGAAATAAATATTCTGTAGCCATTAGTAGTATAAATAAAAAAGACCACTTTTTTAATGTTTAATATAATCTCAAAAGTATCTAACGTATAATGGTAAGTAATTTAATGAGTAAAATTAGTGCTCAATCTATTTTTGTAGTTTATATCCTGATCAGGAACAGTAGATAATTTGAAAATTTTAAGCTTGTTGAAAATGATAATTCTCTAGTAAAAATTAATCCCAAAAAAGAGTTCTATTTGGAAAGGAATAAATACCCTGATCTATATCTACAAGAGTAAAAAAAATTTTTTAATTTTTTAATATGTTCAAAGTTATTTCAATAGTAACTAACAAATTTCAATATTAAAAATAATTCTATGTATTTTCGTAGCTTATGTGCCCCTTAATCAGTAATATCACATAAGTAAGTGGAAACTTCAAACTTTATATCCAATGATAATTTTGTAAAAAATGATCAAATAAGAAACAAATTCTACTCACAAGGGAATTAATTATTTGTTGACCTGTAGAAGTAATAGTAAAAAAATAACTACCTTTTAAGAAGAATAAATAAATCTAAAATTATTTCAAATGAAGTTAACAAACCTTAATATGAATATTCTTTAGTTTTTGATAGCCAAAAAGAATGAAAAAACTTTTAAGCACATTTTACGTAATTCATTATCTTTTTAATAATAAAATAATATATTTTTACAGTGTTCTATTTCAGGTAAAATATAAAACATCATTACAAAAGGCATCTTAATACAAAAATATTAAATAAATTAAAATAGAAAGTAATTAAATTAAATTTAGTCACCTATCAACAGCTCCAGCAGTAGGCATGCTCCTTGCATAACCTTTGACACCAGTCTTTTTAAAATATGGAATGCATTCTAAATTATTAGCTAAAACTGCCAGAGAGTCTGAGGGGCAAACAAAGAATGCTTTTTTACCCAAAATCATGTTACGATCCTGAAAAATAAAATCTCATTATTAAAATTTAATAACCAAAACCAATTGTTTTGCAATAAAGTACTATTATAATAAAGTAATACTATAAAGTAATACTTTTGATTATAACTCACAAAAATCAGTATGCAAATGTATGTGGTCTAATCTTTTTTTAAAGTCTTATATAATTTGAGTTTGCATCATCAATATCCAAGAATTGAATCAAATTCTAATGCAAATTCTATACAAAATAAATTGTTTCACAATAAATTACTCTTATAATAAATTAATACTATAAAGTAATACTTTTGATTATAACTCACAAAAATTAGCATGCAAATGCATGTGGTGTAATCTTTTTTTAAAGTCTTATATAATTTGAGTTTGCATCATCAATATCCAAGAATTTAATCAAATTCTATTGCAAATTCTATACAAAACAAATTGTTTTGCAATAAAGTACTTTTATAATAAAGTAATACTATAAAGTAATACTATAAAGTAATACTTTTGATTATAACTCACAAAAATTAGTATGCAAATGTATGTGGTCTAATCTTT